AACTTCATGGAATGGAATCATACTAAGTGTTCTTTTTTATGTTAATTATACATACTTCTGAATACAGCTATAGTTTATGCTTTATTTCTGTATCTAGTCCATTTTAAAACACACAGCCCATTTTATTTATTATTTATTTTAAAGACAGGGTCTCACTATGTAGCCCTGGCTATCCTGGAACTCCCTATGTAGAATGTTAGATAAAACCTGTGCAGGAAATAACCACAGAAAACACAGGAGGACTCTGGCAAAGTAAAGTTTATTAGAGGGTTGCAAGGGGCTGGCAGTTCAGCTCAGGAATGAAAGCAACCAGCAGCCTGCTGACTGTTGGGGAAGTTCTTATAGGGGGTTAGGGCATGCAGAAGGTAGCAAAAATAATCTTTACTATTTTGGTGGGAAGCGGGGTCTGTACGGGTTGGGGGGAGCAGCTTGTGCTGAGACAGCTCTTGCAGCAATCAGGTCTTGGGTCATAGGTGCAAGGGGTCTGTTTATCTGTGGTCAGTGTAACTGTTGACTCAGTTCCTGCATTCCAAGGGGCCCTGAAGAACTTGCCCTGAGGGGCTTGCAAAACCATGAGGCCTTGCTACGCTGAGGGAAGGGTCACTGTGGGCCTGGACTCTATCATAGACCAGGCTGGCCTCAAACTCACAGTTATCTGCCTGCCTCTACCTCTGAGTGCTGGGATTAAAGGCATATGTCACCATGCCTGGCCTTTATCTTTTTTGTAATTGCTGCATATTTGAGTTGCTTCTTTTTCTTCCCCCTCCTTTCTCTCCTCCTCAAATTTTTTTTTCTTTTTCTTCTTATGTGTAGTATATATGTTAGAATGTGCATGGGCACACAAGTATGAGGGTGTGCATGCAAGTGAAGAGGCTAGAAGTTGACACTGGGTATCTTCCAGGACTGCTCTCCACTTTACCCAAAAGTAACACAGGGAAATTCTACACAAACCCATATGGGCCAGCTTCAACGTATCCCATCTAGACAGGTCATGCTTTTCTCCTTATCCTGTGAGGGAATCTGGAGATTGGGGGTAGAGGGGCTGAATCAGGTTGATGAGTACCTGAAAGTGTTTCCCAAGCCCATCCCTTGTACATCAAGAGCATACCAAGCCTCAAGCAGCTTAGGAAGGGTTTCATGCAGTTCTAGCTGTGGATGATTCTCAGTTCTGACACATGCTTCTCAGCAGCTGATTGAGATCCAGAGCCTGTTTTTCCATCTTTGAAGTGGGGATATCTTTCAGGATCCTGCTGGGATAATATTCTTCATTCTGCTTATTAATACCGGTAGGTACGGTTGCTCTGCAACTAAACAAATTCCTTGAAGATACCTTTTTAAAAATTTTTATTATTTTTATTTTCTGTGTATACGTGTATTGCCTGAATGTATGTAAGTGCACCCGTGTGGTGTAATGCTCTCGGAGGCTGTCGGATCCTCTGGGACTGGAGTTATAGACAGTTGTTAGCGGCCATGTGGGTGCTGGGATTCAAACCTGGGTCTTCTGCAAGAACAACCAGTGTCCTTAACTGCCAAGCCATCTCTCCAGCCCTGAAGATACCTTATTTTATCATTATGTACTCACCCAAATAAATCTGATTTTGGAGCCTAGAAATTTTTACCATGGACAGTCCTGTTCTCCACACAAACAGATATGAAAGACTGACTCTCCCTTGTCTGAACATCAGGTTAGATCCTCTGGAGGTTGATGCTGCTATGATAGTCTGTCTGCCTATCCTTGTCTTCCCCTATATGAAAATGAGTCTACTACCCTGAACCCTTAATGACTTGTGCATGGTGCTGACACTCCAGCTAGAAAGGACAACATGATGAGGTATCTGGCAACATCCTTCCAAGGTAAAACCACCTCATATGTACCACCTTCTTTAGCTCATACTGGTACTTTTATTATCACCCCTATTTCCTAGATCAGCCCCCCCCTGGGTGAGTGTCTATTCCTCTCAGGATACAATTATAACTCTGGCACATACTTTTGGTATTGTGAGAAAGTCATGGCTGCTCTCTGGTATGCTCATCTGAAAGGGGAGTATTAAAAGAACAAACCTTTCAGAGTTGTGTAGTTGGATTTTTACATTTTCTTACATTTGTAAGTTAAAGGAACATACTAATCAACCCTAAAACCAACTGGAATATGAAATACCTGTTTTTCTCAAAACATCTCTCCATTTCTTAGGTTATGGGAGAAGTGTTCAGAGAAAAAAGAAAGAATAGAAAAAAAGATGACTGCTGGCAAAATTTAACAAACACAAGGTCAGAATCAAACATGCTTTAAGAGGTTTGCTGAAACCAAAATACTTTGTTAGGTTTGTGAAAAGACCAGGACCATAAGAGACCACTCTGAGGTAAGAAAAGGAGAAATTTATTGGGGTGTATGAGCTGCTGGACAGTACCCATGGGAGAAAGAGAGCAGGCTGAATTTTATAAGATTTTTCTTTTGTGGGTAGGGGAGGAAAGTCTGTAGCAGAAGGGGGTGAGTCAATAGCAGGTGCTTCTGTTGGGGAGAGTTTCAGTTAGGGTTTTCAGTTTTTCAGTTGGCTGAGATGGAAAATTACAGTATTGTTAAAAGTAGGAGTCAGGTAGTTACTGAGAAACTAGGGTGGTTTAGTTTCTGTTTTCCAGAATGCTGCCTACCAATTGTGGTGGCCATGTTGCTGGTCAGTAGTGACTCCATCTTGGGGTCCAGTTTGGCCTAACACTTTCAAAGCAAAGAAACAAAATAGATACCTTAAAACAAACACTTCAAAAGTAAACCAATCCACCCCCCCAAAAAAGGTACCAAACAAATAACCAACAAGCTCAGAAGACACAAATGGACCCTTAACAAAACCAATGGGAGGTCTGAAAGAGCCCCAGAAAGAATTCACAACAATCCATCTTAGGAGACACTACCAGATGGATGGGCTCAATGGATCCATGCTGGTACCTGCTCCCATCCAGGTGACCCCTCTAATGAATAGCAGATAATTCCTGGGGCCTCATGTGGCACCATAACTATCACTTTCACCTCAAAAAGGATAAGAGATAGTTTATTCTGGAGCCAAATATGAGTGAACATGGCCTGGGAACACAGATTCAGGTTACCTCAAATTCCATGTTTCAGTGTGGTAACAGTTACATTTTTGTAGTAACAGAACAAAGAATGTCATAAATCAATGTACTTTTCGAATACATTGGTGGATACATGTAGGAAACCAGGATGACATGCCCTGGGGCAAGATGAACCTGAAACTTTAAAGTCCAGGCTACAATTTCTGCTGAAGGGAGGGGCACGGAAAACAGCAGCCCTCAAATCCCTGTCTCACAGAACACTGCAGGACCAGCAGGAGAAAAGTGGCTGGGTCAAAAGTTTAAGCTCCTTGCTCTAAGGGTAAGCATCTTGGTCAACAGCCCTTAGCCCACCTCCTTGGTCTGAACAAGTAATTCTCACCTACCAATAGCTAAAAGAATAGGCCAGGTTAAAAGTTTACTCCTGAGCTAAAAGCTAAATGTTTACTATGCTTTTTATCCTAAGAAAGAAAACATTGTGGCCAATAAATTACCAGATAGGCACTGGTAAAAGTTCAAGCATCCTGCTTTATAAATAGCCTCTAGGTGGCGCTAGCCAAAAGCTATATGTCCTGTTTCTTGTCTAATTGTGCCCTAAATCTTTGTATGTAACTGCCAAACCTCCTGTGACTGCCAGTTCCTTGTATTGTATAAAAACTCACTGAAATTTTAATAAAGTTGGTTTGTTACAAAAGATTTCAAGTTCCAGGGCTGGGTTCCCCCACAAGGCAAAGCAGGACTCCCACAGGTACATTCAGTAGGCAGGATATAGAAAGCTGGGGTGGGGGTGGGGGGTTTCTACTATAGAGCTCAGATGCTATCTGATGAGATACTTAGCTTTTTGATTGGTGAGACCTGGTAGTTTGCTAAGTTAATACATCTTATGAGTGACAAGAATGTTAATTCAGAAACCGAGTTAGGCAAGATGTGGCTGTTTATGGGGTTAAAGATGTCCCCAGATAATCTGTGACTAGGCTAAATTCTCCACAGTCACTGAAGTGTTAATCATTTGGTCAGCCTTGCAGGAAATTCAGCTCAGGATGCAGTTCTTTCTGGGAACTTTCTTTCACACTGGATTGTTAGGTAAACGCAGAAAAATCACCACTCAGAAGGACTCCAACAAAAGCGAGGGTTATTTGGGAAGCTGCCTGAGGTGGCTCTGAAACTCCAGGATTGAGGAAAGACCACCAGTTTTCAGGCTGCTGGTGGAGGTTTTTACAGGGGGTAGAGAATGCCCAAGGCAGGGGGGTTGTTAAGCAGTTTCAGTGAGCAGGGTCTGTATGTTGCGAAACTTATTAGGGGGAAGCAGCTTGTGCTAAGGCAGCTCTTGCAGCAATCAGGTCATGGGTGCAGGAGCCTCTTTATCTTCTAAACTTATCTGGGGAAACAGACTATGTTGAAACTGTCTCCTCAGGGCCAGCCGCTGCCGTTTTCGAGAGGCCCCCCAGGGCCTGTCTTACGAGGCTTGGGGGGATGTCACCCGCAGACCTGGACTCTAACACTGGATAAGCTGAGATCATCAAATCAACACTACTAGATGATAAAAAGACACAAACTATCAATTTACACAACATGGGTGAATCTTTAACAAAACGTATTTCCGTAAATGAAGAAGGGAGTCAGATTACAAAAACTGTGTAGGATCTGGTTCAATTTACATGACTACCCCCAACTTCCTGACTTCCCGACTTCCCAGAACAAGTCCGTTGCTGAGTATCAAGCATGTGTTATTAACCCATGAAGGTTCAGTGCATGTGTGTTCTAGCATGGCCGCATCACAGCACAGGGCGGCTCTACCTGAGAAGTGCAGAACCTGTGGCCTCTTTCAGCCAGGATTACGGCTCCGGCTCAAGGCTTGATGGGCGCGTCCTCTTGCCCGCCCATCAAGGGCGCCGCGGTGGAACTGTCCAATCAGTTCACGGTTGGAAGGTTAGGGGCCGACTTCCCGTTCATAGGTTTTCCTGCTAACAACTCACACGTCTCCGTCTGGCTGCTTCTCCTCGGTAGGAGGTCGGCGTGAATTCCGGCGACTCCGGGGGTCTACACTCCATTCCAGAAATGGTGAGTGTGGCCGTGGGGGCGGACCCCGCCTGCCCCTGTCTGTGTCGGGTCGCCGCGGTCCCGCGCGGTCCGGGCCCCGGGTGCCGAGTCTGGCTCTCGCCGGAACCCTCCGGTCGCCACCCGCAGCCCGTCGCGGGCCAAGTCCGCCCGGCGCCGGGAAGCTCTCGGGGCGCCTCCAGCTGCGCTTCCAGCTCCGCCCGCAGCGGCGCGCTCCCGGGGTCCGCACCGCCTCTCTCCAGAGGGATCGTCCTTCTCCCCTCCTGGTGTGAGGAGGCGGCGTCTCAGATCCGCGCCGTCGCTGCTCCCAGTGACGCCAGACCCGGGTTTAAGCCCTGATCTTCCCTTTACTTCTGCGTTGTAGATGGACCTTCCTGCCCCAGCTCCAGAGGGCCTCAACCATCGGTTCAAGTGGACAGGGTGCTTTTCCTCGCGCCCAGTGGTGTCAATCTCAATTGACACTACTTTTTATTTTTTATTTTTATTTTTTTGTCTTTTTGACACAGGGTTTCCCCATAGCCCCAGCTGGGCTGGACTCTCTGTGGATGGAGACCAGGCTGGCTTCGATCTCACGGAGATCCTCCTGCCTCTGCCTCCCGAGTGCTGGGATTAAAGGCGTGCGCCACCACGCCTGGCTCGATATACCTTTTAAGTCATGTTTTCTGTATATACATTCTTAAGTCTCTAAGTTACGTGAAAGAAGGGATTATTTTGAGCAATTATGAACTTGTAACAATGATTCTAGATACTCTAAATGAGCTGTTATACCACGGAAGAGATGTTTTTATTGTTATAGTGTAAAACAAAGTCATAAGTCCGTGCATTTACCAGTTATATTGGTGAGGTATTGGTTGGGCAGGCTGCAGCAAAGTAGACAAATTTTGTGTAGGTGTTAGATTTTTTCAGCTTCATTAGATTCAGGGTTAGCGGAGAACAAAAGTCTTAGTGATACATTCAAGAAGATTATTCCTCAAGAAAATGTTGTTAGCTACAAAAGTAAAAGGGTTAATGGAGCCCAAGATTAATTTGATTCCAAATTTCTTATATTATTGCTGCACAAAACGAATATATTCCCATCAAAAGTGTTGTAAGCTGTGAACTGTGAAGATTCATGAAAACATTCATTCCTGTCTTTTGCAGTGAAGAGTTTGTAACAACTAAAGTCTCCTGTTATGTGGAGTGGCAAATCAATACTCAGTTTTATGTCATCTTAGCAGTACCTAGAAATACATATGATCATTTATTTAGTAAATGGTTTGTGACCATGGAAATAATTAAATGATATCTGTTGTCTGAAAGATAATATGTGTCTATTTCATCAAAGTAGTAATTGATTCATGAGTGTTCCTTCATAATCTCACTTAATTCCACTTCATAATCTCATCTAATTCCAATTACTTTCCAGACACACCATCTTCTGTCTCTGCCTGCCAAGTACTAGGATTACAGGCATTTCACCAAATCTGGTGCTTATGTGATTTATTTCTGTGCTTTCTCTTGTGTCTTATTAAGTCTGTTTATTCTGTACCAAATATACTGTTTTTATTAATGTAGCTTTATAGTAAATCTTAAAGTTAGGTAGTATTGTTCCTGTGAATTTATTCTTCATTATTGTGTTGATAACTCTAGGGCCTACATGACTGACAACTGAGAATTTGTTAAGGTTTTTATCAAAACTTTATCTGTAATTGAAATTGTTGAAAACTAACATGTTAATATTGATGCTTTCAATCGATGACGTAGGTCTTCACATTTTGTTTCTCTCATTAGATATTTGTGATTTTTCTCATTGATTTTTGTCAGGTTTGAATGTGAGCATTTCTCTTTTTTAAAATGTTATCTATTTATTTTATTTTATTGTGTATGAGTGTATTGCCTGCATGTGTGTAAGTGCACCCATGTTGTACACTGTCCATGGAGGTCAGAAGAAGGCATCCAGTTCCCTGGAACTGGAGTTATGGATGGTTGTTAGCTGCCATGGGGGTGCAGGGAATTGAACCCGGGTCCTCTATAAGAGCAGTCAGTGCTCTTAACCACTGAGCCATCTCTCCAGCCCGCCCACATCTCTCTTTTTTATCTTGGTGCTATATAAGTGGTATTATGTTTTATGGTTTTATTCTTTTTTTTTTTAATGTGTATGAATGTATTGCCTGGATATATGTAAGTGTACCTGTGTTGTGCAGTGCTGGAGGAGGTCAGAAGAAGGTGTCACATCCCCTGGAAATGGAGTTACGAATGGTTGTTAGCCACCATATGGGTTCTGGGAATAGAAACCCAGGACCTCTACAAGAGCAGTCAGTGCTTTTCTGAGCCATTTCTCAAGCCCTAAGTGGTATTATGTTTTAAATGTCAAATCCAGTTGTCATTGTTGGTAAATTTGAAAACAATTGACTTATGTGTTAGCATTCCATGGGATAACCTGGTGTCATTTCTTAGTAGTTTCTTTGACTCTTTGGGGATTTATTACATGGAAAGTCATGCAATCTGTAAATAAAGACATTTTCATTTCTGTCTGTGAGTGCTTTTGTTTTCCCTTTTTCTTTCCTCTCTTGAGAAGGAATTTCACAGATCCAGGCTTGCCACAAATTCTTATGCAGCAAAGGATGACTTTGAACTTTTGATTTTTCTGCCTCTGTTTCCCCAGTGCTGGAATTATAGGCATGCTGGGATTTTTTGTGGTGCTGAGTATCTAACCCAGGGTTTCATGCATACTAGGCAAGCCCTCTACCAGCCCAGCTACTTCCCTAGTCCCAGAATCCAACCATGAGAAATCTGAGCCATGTCTTTTACTTTTTACTCTGTAACAAGATGTTGGTTTTACTTAATACATATAGGCCCATTTATATCTTTTATTTATCCTTTTTTTTCTTTTTTTTTTTTTTTTTTTTTTTTTTTTTTTTTTTTTTACTAAAAAAAAAAAAAAAAAAAAAACTTACCCAGGTATGGGGGAATCTCCATACCTGCCATCCTCCAACATGTGTGTGCCAGGATCGAACTCATGTTATCGGGTTTGACAGCAAGGGCCTTTGCCCACCGAGTCCTCCCATGCTTCTCTGCTTTCTTCTTTTTTTTTAATGTTTATTTATTATTTTTATTTTATGTGTATGAGAGTTATGCCTGCATGTAGGTAAGTGCACCCATGTCATGCAATGCCCATGAACAACAGAAGAGGATGTCTGATCCCCTGGAACTGGATTTACAGATGGTTGTTAGCCGCCATATGGGTGCTGGGATTATAACCTGGGTTAAGAGCAGTCAGTGTTCTTAACAGCCGAGCTATCTCTCCAGCCCGTTTTCTTTTTTAAAAAATTTTTTTATTATTTTAATTTTATGTGTATGTGTAATGCCTGTATGTAGGTAGGTGCACCCATGTCATGCAATACTCACAGAGCACAGAAGAGGGAATTGGAACCCTGGAACTAGAGTTACATGGATGGTTGTTAGCTACCATGTTGGTGCAAGGAATAGAACCTGGGCCCTCCTGCAAGAGCAGCCAGTTCTCTTAACTGCTGAGCCATCTCTCCAGCCCCTTACTCTGCTTTTTTATCTAGCTGTAGGTAAGATTTCATGTTTATGAAGAACCTTTTTTTGATATTGTTCATTTGCTATGCTGATTTCCTGATTATAGTTTGATTATCATCTCTAATTATTTTCCCATACTTGGTTTATAATTATCTTGCTCTTGGAGGTCAGAAGAGGTCATTGAATCCCTTGAAACTAGATTTACAGAATTGAACCTGGGTCCTGTGTAAGAGCAACCAGTGCTCTTAACCACTAGCCCATCTCTCCAGCCCCTCAGCCTGCTTTCTTTTTTTGGTCTTTTTGTGACAGGATCTCCCTGTAGTCCTAGCTGGCCTGGAACTCGCTATGTAGACCAGGCTGGCCTTGAACTCACAAAGATCCTCCTGCCTCTTCCTCATCAGTGTAGGCCTCCCTCAGCCTGCTTTCTTATGTAACACAGGACCACCTGCCCAGGGATAGCACCACCCAGAGTGGGCTGGGCCTTCCCATATCACTCAACAATCAAGATAGTGTTCCACAAACATGGTCACAGGCCAGTCCAGTGGAGGAAATTCCTCAGTTATGGTTCCCTCCATCTAGGTGTGTCAAGTTGACAACTGAAGCTATCTAGCACAAATAGCTATTTCCTTCCATCCCCAAAATATATCTGCAGGTGACTATCATGCTGGTGAGCAGGATGCCCTGACATGGGGACTACTCTGTCTGTGCTCTTGCTCTGACTTGCTGCCTGAGATCTGGCCAATGCTATGACTTGCTGGTGGCTGAGGGGTAGTGCTTCTTGCAGTCCTGCTGTTTTTATTTTGTCAAATTTGTGGGTTTATTTTTTTGTTTTGTTTGTTTTTTGTTTTTAATGTGTATGAGTGTTTTACCTGCAGGAACGTATGTATACCACGTATGTGCCTGGTGCCTGAGGAGATCAGAAGAGGGCATTGGATTCCCTGTAACTGGTGTTACAGATGGTTGTCAGCCACCAAGTGTGTTGGGAACTGAACCTGCTTGGGTTCTCTGTAAGAGCATCAGTGTTCTGAGCCTCCAAATTTGTGTTTTAAACTTTTTTTTTTTTTTTTTGGTTTTTTTGAGACAGGGTCTCCCTGTAGTCCTAGCTGTCCTGGAACTCGCTATGTAGACCAGGCTGGCCTTGAACTCACAGAGATCTATCTGCCTGCCTCTGCCTCCCAAGTGCTGGGATTAAAGGCATGCGCCACCACGCCCAGCTTAAACTTTTTCTTTAAACATTCATTTATTTTGTGTGTGTGTACTTGCTTGTGCATGGTGCATATGTGGAGGTCAGCAGACAGCTGGTGGTAGTTGATCCTCTACTTTTACCATGTGGGTGTTGGAGATTGAACTTAGGCCATCAGGCTTGGCAGCAAGCATCTTTACCTGCTGAGCTATCTCATTAACCCTAATTTGTGCTCTTAATAACTCATATTGCCCTATTAGAAACTATATAAGCTTTCCCCCCTTAGTTTTTTAAGGTTTTAATAATAAAATTTACAAAGGAAAAGATTTGATATAAGTAACGCTGATAGTGTTCTTAAAATCCCCATCAGAATTCATAAACATAGCTTGGATAGTCCTTAGTTTTCTGATGGTCCCTTCCTGGGTCCACCTTCAGTTTGCCTCTGTTCTGATCCTAGGGCTACTGTCCGTATCATTGCCATTTGTCATTTTTTCTGGTGCTCAATTTCTTTACTTTTGCCTTCTTTGAACATTCAATAAATGGACCCAAATGAGATTGAAATGAAGAGATTTATTAGTATTTATTCTTGCATAAATACATTTCAGACACATTAGTGTCTAAGGCTTTGGACAATCTGATTTACTCACCTATTCCAATAATAATAATAGTGTTTGGATTCCAGTTTGCTTTGACCTATGTTTTATTTTATTTGTGTTTGTGCATGCATGTGTGTCTTGTGCACATGTGTGGATATATATTGCAGAGCAGAGGTTGACTTAATGTGTCTTCCTCAGTTGCTCTCCAGCCTTATTTTTGACACAGTTTCACTCTGGACCAGGAGATCATCCCATATCTTTGTTCTCTTAGTATTGGGGTTACCAATGTGTGCCACTAACCTTGGCTTTTATGTGGGTGCTTGGAATCTGAACTCAGATTCTCATGCTTGAGAACACTTTAGCTGACTGAGCCCTCTCCCTGGCCCCCCTTGATTTTTTTTTTTTCCTTTTGAGTCTCAGCAATTATAAAGGTGTTTAGTTTTGTTTTTCTTGTGCCATTGCTTTTCTGAGTAGCTCAGTTCTATCGCAAAAGCTCTATGAAAGTTAATACAAATCAAGAGTAGAATTTTGACGACCCATTTGTGGAGTCAATGATTGGCAACCACAGATTTATGTGGCAATTTTGCATATTGAATACAGATTCCCAGTACTATCAAACTCATGCAGCCTCCATTGCATATATGTGTTTAGAACTCAGTGACTTTGGAGGAGGTGGCTGTGAACTTTACCATGGAGGAATGGGCTTTGCTGGACCCTTCCCAGAAGAAACTCTACAGAGATGTCATGAAGGAAGTCTTTAGGAACTTGGCTTCTGTGGGTAAGAATCATAACATTTACTCAGTTAATCAGCCAGCCAGAAAATTTGTCAGTTTAGTATGTTGAAAAGGAGTACTGTGTTAAGTAGACTAGGGAAGGGTACAATGTACAGTGTAGCTACAATTTATTTTGTTGTTGTTGTTCTTGTTGTATTTAAGACAAGGTCTCAGCTCTAGAAAATCTTGACTTGGAATTTACTATAGAGTTTAAGATGGCCTCAAAACTATGGAAAGCCTCTTGTCTCATTGCCTATATGCAGAAATTATAGGTGTGAGCTACTGTACCTGGCTTAGGAATTTTTTTCTGAGAATTCATGTTAATTCATACTGATTTTGTTGTTGCTGTTTCCATATTTTAGGAGACAAATGGGAAGATCAAAGTATTGGAGATGAGAATAAAAATTCTAGAAGAAATCTAAGGTAATTTTTACTTGAGAGGATGCAGTGTCCATTGAGGGAATCTAAGTATGTTATGTAATTTATATTAAAAACACAGAAACTGGGGGCTGGAGAGATGGCGCAGTGGTTATGAACATGGACTGTTCTTGCAGAAGACCGGGGTTCAAATCCCAGCACTCACATGGCAACTAACAACTGTCTGTAACTCCAGTTCCAGGTGATCCAACAGTCTCTTCTATCCTCCGCGGGCATTGCACAACACGGGTGCAATTACTTACATGCAGGCAATACACGCATACGCATAAAGTAAAAATAATAAATTTTTTTTTAAAAAAGTACAATACTAAATGTATTTATTTTAGATTTTTGTTTTACCAAAAGCACACTTACCATAATATAGATAACGAATTAATTGATTTGCAAAAAGTCCTCTGAGAAATGACATATATGATAACACTGTTTTGATAATTCCTAGTAGAGTAAATCCATGTGACTGCCATGTGAGTGAAAAAGTCTCATGTCGTTCATTCCTTCACAGGTACATCTTACCTTACTTTGGACACAAACCTCATGTCAATAAGGAATATGGCCAGAAGCCCTATGAACTTAGACAACACGGGAAATCCTTCACTTCTCTCAGAAGTGTTGAAAGAGAAATGGGACACATTGGAAAAGGAGCCCATAAATGTATGACAAGTGGAAAAGTCCTCATTCATTCTAGTGCCATTAAAAAACGTGAACAAGCTCAGATTAGAGAGAAGCCCTATCAACATAAACGATGTGGTACAGGTTTCCTTTCATCAGTTTCCACTGAGAGATGTGAACAGACTCCTAATAGCCAGAAGACATATGAATGTAAACAATGTGGAAAAGCCTTTAAATCATCTGCTTCCATTAAAAAACATGAGCAAATTCATACTACAAAGAAACTCTATGAATGTAAACCATGTCATAAGTTCTTTATCTATCTCGGAAGTTTTGAAAGACACATGATAATTAAGCACAATAAAAATGAACTTTTTAAATGTAAGGTATGTGAGAAAGTATTCCTTTATTCCAGTAGATTTATTATACATCAAAGAACTCATACTGGAGAGAAGCCCTATGAATGCAAGCAATGTGGTAAAGCTTTCTTCTCCATCACGAATGTTAATCATCACGTGAAGTCTGTGCACACTGAAAATGGTCCTTTGAAATGTAAGATCTGTGGGAAAGCCTTTCATTTTCTTAGTTTGTTTAGAAGACATGAAAGATTTCATACTGGAGAGAAGCCCTATGAATGTCAGCAGTGTGGTAAAACTTTCAGTGTTTCCAGTTCCTTTCATAGACATAGAAGAAGTCATAGTGGGGAGAAGCCTTATGAATGTAAACAATGTGATAAAAGCTTCACATGTCGTAGATCCCTTCAAGAACATGAAAGAACTCATATAGGGGAGAGGCCCCATAAATGTAAAGAATGTGGTAAAGCCTATAATAATGCCAGTACATTTAGAAGACACAAAAGAACTCATACTGGAGAAAAGCCCTATCCATGTAAACAGTGTGGAAAAGCTTTCCCTGTTTACTCTTCCCTTCAAAGACATAAAAGACTTCACACTGGAGAAAAACCCTATCAATGTAAACACTGTGGTAAAGTCTTTGCTAGCGATTACATTAAAAAACATGAAAGGGCTCACATTGAAAAGAATTGGTAGTAACGAAAAAGAAAAGTCATTGTTCAGTGAGTTATAAACATAAGAGAACTTAAACTTCAGAACAACCCTCTGGATACAAAAAAAAAAAAATTAGTACTTCATTCAGTTTTCCCAAAGATATTAAAGGAGTTCACTGTAGATGTTATGTATGTGTGCATACATATTCATTGCTGGTTTTCCAGTGTAGTACCTTGCAAATGCTAAGCAAGCATTTGAGTTTCATTTCTACTCCAGAACAGTTTGTTTGTGTGTAAAAAATATTGTCTATCATTGAATTTTTCTGGTTGCTTCACACTGGAAAGTAAACTTGAATTTATGATGTTTCATTTCTCAAGCATGAAATTACTTAATTGGTGAGAAACCCTTTGTTAAAAGTGATAAAGCATTCAGTTTTCCCACTTCTTTTCTAGAGCATACGATGCATGTAAGAATTCCAGTTCTCTTCCACAGTGTGAAAGAACTTATTCCACAGAAAAACTCTTACAGGGCTGGTGTGATGGCTCAGAGTGTGAAGGCGCTTGCTACCAGCCTGAAAACTTGAGTTCAATCTCTGAATATATTGGAAAGAAAGAATTGATTCTGCCAAGTTGGCCTCTGACCTCGTGGCACCTTGTGGCATATGCTCACAAATATACAAATAAATATATAGAAAGACTCTTAAAAAGGAATGTAGGGAAAGTATTCATTTTCCACATTTCAAAGACAGGGACACAGTCAATATTGTGCTGGAAGTCTTAGAGAAGTAAGACAAGAGAAACAGAAGAAATACAAATAGGAAAGGAAGGAAGAAGTCACAGTACCCTTACTTTTAGGTGATGCTATACAGAAGGGACTGGAAGGACTCATAAAACTCTTAGAATTGGCAGACATGTTCAGTAATGGGCCAGGATATAATATTGCCATGCAAAAATCATTAGATTTCTGACAAACCAATAATACACTGAGAAAGAAAGAGAAACAATCCCACTTGACAATCTAAGGATCAATTGTAATCACTATGAAAATTCAAATGACATTTTTTTCACAGAAATAGAAAAACAATCTTAATATTCATCTGGAAGCACAAAAGACTCCAGATAGCCAAAGAAATCCTGGACAACAACAAAAGACTAGAGGAAACACCATAGCTGTTTTCAAGTTACACTCCTGAGCCACAGTAATGAAAACAGGATAGTACTGTCATAAAAACACACAGACAATTTGAATAAACCCACGAAGCTACAGCTGCCCGATTCTTGGCAACGATGCCAAAAAAAATTACACTGGAGAAAAGAAAGCCTCTATACCAAATGGTACTGAGACTCTCCATGTTGGTTCAGAAGGGAGACACCCTAGTGCTCACCAAGTAAGGCCTAGCCTTCTACTCTCCTAAGAAACTATGTGGCTATAACAGCTTCAGGGCCTTTTTCTGGTATTTTTGTAACCAGCATGTTGACTGTCAAGCTCCTCCACTGAGTTCACCGCATACAAGGAAGAAACCGACACTTGCCAAGTTGGATCTGCTTCAGTGTCTCCAGTACCAGTTTTATCAGACAGCTTGGCTTTTCCTAGAGTTCTGAGGGGAACAATTGGCTTGATTCTTCTCTGGGACATCTCAGCAGCTTGGGTCTGATTTTAGATTTCTGCGACCTGGCTTCTCCCAGAAGTGACAAAGCAAGATCAAGGAAGGATTTATGTGGTCATTGACCTGAATGAAACCCTCATGCGCAGCTCCTTTAAGCCATTCATTCACCAGTGCTGAGTGGTCAAGAAGACTTACGGTGATGAGTTCCTGAGATGAATGAGGGAGCTCTTTGAGTATGTTCTCTTCACTGTTAGCCTGGCCAAATATATGCCGACAGTACAGTGAACCTGCTGGACCAGTATGGGGGTGTTCTAGGCTCTTTTGTTCTGGGAGTCCCATCTGTTCCACCAGGGCTGCTATGTCAAGGACCTCAACTGCCTAGGAAGGTACTTGAGGAAAACCCTCATCCTGGACAACTCACCTGCATCTCAGCATCTTCAATCCAGAGAACCCAAAGCCTGTGCGGTTCTGGTTTAATGATATGGCAGATACTGAGTTGCTGGACCTGACCCCAATCTTGGAGGAACTGAGCAGAGCAGACGATGTCTACCTAACCTTGTGCAGCAGCTGGGCCCCCTAGCTTTCCTGCTACACCATGCCTTCCTGATCAGCCTGACTGACCCAGCAGAGCTGAAGCTGGTGCAACTTACCAAAAGGAGCCTGGAATTAGTGAGACAGTGACTGAAAAGAGCTTTAGGGCAGGTTAGATTCGGAGTGGGCAAATTAGACTAGCAATATTCAGAGATTCTTGCACCCTGCTGTTGGGTTCCAAGGTGTGAATGGGATTGTGAGTATGTGTGTGTGTGTCTGTCTATGATGAACTATGACCCAGGGTGCCCAGTTTTTTGGTGGGGGAAGGGGTGAGAAGCTAAAAAATAAAGACATCCAAGTTATCGCCTTTCCTGTTTCTTCTTATCCTGTGTCACTGTGCTTTACAAATATGATGACTAAGCCGGGCATGGTGGTGCATGTCTTTAGTCCCAGCACTAGGCAGAGGCAGGCAGATCTCTGATTTCCAGGCCAGCTGGGGCTACAGGGAGACCCTATCTAAAAAAAGACAAAAAAGAAAAAAACAAAACAAAAAACACCCAGATATGATGACTATTCTATTACAGGCTCCATTGCCAAACCATAGCTGGTCCTCAGAGGATTTATGCCAAGGAGAAAAGAAGAGCCAGAGGCTGCTGTTGGATGCCCTAGGCACATGCCTTCTGAAAGACAAAAAGATGCTATTTCCAGGAAAATGCGTACATGTTTTCAGAGCCAGTACTCTCAAGGCAACCAGGTCCTGTGGCCCGGGGCCTGTACTTGGCTCTTGGCAGTGTGCTTGCATTGGGCGCTTTCTGTGTCGTCTTCAGGCTCTTGTACTAGGCCAGCCTTCCTCACTATCTAGCCAAGTCTCTTGTGGAGAGGAGGTCTTCTTCCATCTCTGGAAGAGGACAGTAACTGACTTCTGTTCTGTTGACTTTGTTTTAAAATCCTCTTTCTACATGAAGTGGTGGGTGTTAGATTTAGAAGAGCAGAGAAAGAATAAAGTTTAGATAAATGACCAGAGCCAGACCGTTTAGCACACCAAACTACATTTATTCAGCGAGGTGGTAACCTTCCTGTGGGAATGAAAAGCTATACAAGGGAGTCAGGATTGTTGTAGATTATATAGTGCTGGGAAATAGAGCACACACAGCTGTGACGTCTGAGCTAAGTTGTCCTTGGGAAACACATGGCCCCCTCTTTCCTGTAGCCGTTTGCTTGAACAAAACAAGCTGTTTCAGCTTTGCTGTGGCTAGCCAGTAACAGTGGAGCAAGGACAGCAGAAACACATCCTGGCAGGAGAGGGTTGTCTGGCTTTTCTGCTGCTGGGGTATTCTTATAAGTGGGCCTGGTTTGTTTTTGGCTAGGCTGCAGTCCTGGGCCTGAGATGAATGTGAGAGGTGCTGGGTGTACAGGGAAGACATAAATCTCCAAAGCAGAATGTGTGTCCCCTTGCTTAAAGATCAGCAGAGCTGCTTTCCAAGTCTTCTCAAGGACATTAGCTCAAAGTGGGAAGGGCTGCTAAGCTGTTCCATCCCCTCCCATCACCTGGGTTAGGCTCCTACCTGTCTGGTCTTCCTTTGGGGCCTACTAGTCCAGTCTGTTTCAGTCTTCATCCTTACTGGCTATTGTTCTTCCTCTCCAGGGCCTCAGGAGAACTTTTTCAGGACAGAGGGGGAGTAGGTATTACTGTCACTTGGAGGAGGCATATGCCTCCTGCCTCTGGTAACAGGAGTGAGTGAGGCCCTCAGTCCTGCACTATGGAGAAGTCTTTTTTTGAGACAGGTCTCCCTGTAGCCCCAGCTGGCCTGGAACTCACTATGTAGACCAGGCTGGCCTCGAACTCAGAGATCCACCTGCCTCTGCCTCCCAAGTGCTGGGATTAAAGGCGTGCACCACCACACCCAGCTGGAGATGTCTTTTAAAGGTTCTCAGTAGTGAATGTTTTAAAAATTACTCATGAAATGGAAATTTCCCCAGGATGGAAGACAAAGGGGAAGTGCTAATGTCATTGTGAACACAAGGGGTCCCCTAAAGCCTCATGCTTGGCCTCATTTTGGGGAGGGAGTTCCTATCCTCAACTCTACATTCCCTGAATGCAGGTGTCAGAACATTTGTGAATTGTTGCGGTGGTCACTGCCCACTCAGGACTCATACAATTATACTTTTTAGTTGCCATATACTAGATCAAGTCTCAGGAACTAACCAAGTTCAGGGAAGTCTGGTGGTAGAGCTGTGTTCTGACTGGTAGCTGGCTGGCTGGTATCACTCTAGCATTGTCCAGTCTTCTTCTCTCCTTATTCCAGGGCTATGAAGTCTTTTCTTTCTTTTTGGTGACACAGAGTGGATCAGAGCCTCCAAGCTCTTGCCATTTCCCCCAGCTCCAATCTCTGGTGCCTGTGGGGTCCTGCTGAACCCTGGGTTCAGGTGAAGAGGGTTCCAGGTGCTAGCCAGGACACCAGCTCCCGAAGATACATGGGAGTTCGACTGTGGCTTCAGAGCTAGGTCTCATTGCCACCCTAACATTTCAGGGGCCCACTTTCCTGAGGCCTACTTTGAGGGCTAGCCCTTGGGTAAGTCTACCATTTGGCCCAGCCAAGCTTCTAAGTAATAAGGGGCTCACAGGTGATTGAGTTTCAAGGACTCTTTCTGTCCTCTTTTGGATCTCATTTTTTTCTATATGGAAGAAGAGCAACATTCGCCTTTCCTGTTAAACGTGCATGTGATTGAAGTGTAATCCATGGTCAAAGCTAAGGAGGTGTGAGTCTCACCGCTGCTTCTGCAGGAAGCCTGGCATTCAAGGCCTCTTTGCCATCAGAACCCTTCCTGTCACCTGCAGCCTTGTTCAGCAATGTCATCCCCACTCCCTTCTTTCCAAACTTAATCAGGATGTGCTCTTGTGAACTAAAGCCAACCAAAAGTAATTATTTACAGTGTACTTTCTAATTTCAGTGCTGTTAAGGGCAAGTGATGTTTGCAAAATGTTTATCTGGCAGGCTCTCTTCCAGAAGAGGGTAAGATTGGAAAGGAGCCAGTTCATCCTGCAGTCTATTGTAGGACCTGCCATTTCAGACTGGTCTTTGAGAGTCTGCAGGCCACCAGGTCTGGTGTCATCACCAACTTAAACCATGCCAAGAATCTGCCCACAAGCCAGGTACAGTTCTTTAAGGTATTTCTTCAGGGATACAGTGTCTTTCTCTGATTGGGCTTCTAAATCAACACCTTGATGTTCATCTCCCTCCGATAGAGGGAGCTTTGAACACAGGACTAGTTGGGTAAAGGGCCAGGTAAAGCATTATGCTCTGTGCTTTGTCGAGGGGACACAGTAAGTCTATGGCTCCCTAGTTAGGTTGAGTGAATTTGCCTTCATTTAGAACTTTGTTTTACTACCTCCTGCTTCCCAAAGATGTTTGTGTAAAAATGTATAGCCCCTTGGTCAGCAGTGGCTCAGAGAAGCTTCTATGCACCAGATACATCAAGTCTCAAGGCATTCATTCCCTGGGAAATGGAAACCCTGCAATTCCACCCCGTTTCGCCATTTTCCCTTTCAAGATGCCATTTGGAGGGGAAGGATCTGCTTCCCAGTATGACTGGGCTATAGGATTCCGACTACCTTGCTTCATGATTTGATAACTTTGTTGTATTAAAAAAGTTGAAGTGTATGCTGGGCGTGGTGGCGCACGCCTTTAATCCTAGCACTTGGGAGGCAGAGGCAGGCGGATCTCTGTGAGTTCAAGGCCAGCCTGGCCTATATAGTGAATTCCAGGACAGCTGGGGCTACAGGGAGACCCTGTCTCAAAAAAGACCCAAAAAATAAAACAAACAAAAACCCCCAACAACTTGAAGTGTGCCAGGTTTGGTGGCACATGACTTTCTTTAATCCCAGCATGCAGGAGGCAGAGGCAGGCAGATCACTGAGAGTTCAAGACCAACCTGGTCCACACAAGGAGTTCCAGGCCAGCTGGGGCTACAGGGAGATCTTGTCTCAAAAATATAAAACAACAAAACTTGAAATGTAGGACTACTTTACATGACTGCTTATACTTTTAGAATACTTGTACTACTTACAATTAGTTAATAAAGGCTGGTTTTAAAACCTAAACAACAGGGCCTGGAGAGATAGCAAAGCAGTTAACACTGACTGTTCTTGCAGAAGACCCAGGTTCGAATCCACATGGCAGCTAACAACTGTCTGTAACTCCAGTTCCAGGGGATCTGACAGTCTCCTGTACTCTGTGGGCATTGCATGACACAGGTGCACTTACCTACATGTAAGCAATATACACATACACATATAATAAAAAAAATATTTAAAACCTAAACAAATGGTACTGACAAGATTGGATATCCATATGTAGAAGAATGAAACTAAAGCCCTAAAGCAACTCCAAATGGATCAAAGACTTTAGTGTAAGTCCTGGAACTAGAAGAGTATAAATCAGGAGAAAATGCTTGGAGATGTAGGCACTGGCAAGGCATTTCTCAGTAGTGCCATGTGCTCAGGAAATAAGGCTAACAACTGACAAATAGGCCCTCATGAAATTAAAAAGCTTCTGTACAGTAAACAACAGCAGGTCAACAGAAGAAGTAGCCTACAGAATGCTGAGAATTAATGTTTAGACTATACAAGCTCAGAAAAGGAGGATGTGATTAGATGATCAGGGCTGTAAGCTTTGTAAATGGATCTGTCCATTTATCAGTTCACTCTTTGAATACTGGGAGGTGATGGAAACTTGGCTACATGCTCAAGTGTAATACTTTGACTCTGGTTCCACACTACTTTCTCTGCTTCTTGGCTACCTTGAGATGAGTAGCTTTCCACCATCACATCTTTCTCCTATATGGACAGCCTTACCATAGTCCCAGAAACATCAAACCAAGTGACCATGATTATGTCTGTGCTGCCATACCCAGCTTCATGCACTATTTATAACACAAATCTCAATTCAGTGAATTAAAATTTTTTTTTCATATTTATTACTTTTATGTGTATGTGCATATTGCCTGTGTGTAGGTAAGTGCACCTGTGTCATGCAATGCCTGCAGAGGACAGAAGAGGCTGTCGGATCCTCTGGAACTGGAGTTACAGTTGTTAGCTGCCATGTGGGTGCTGGGATTTGAACCTGGGTCTTCTGAATGAACAACCAGTGTTCTTAACTGCTGAGCCATCTCTCCAGCCCCAATTCAGTGAGTTTTTATTACACATCTGCACCAACTGTGGGACTGGCGAGGTGCAGCTGTCTGTGGGCTGCTGAGATATGGAGGGGCCAAGTGAGTTGGCTGTTCTCAGCTGAGGCCACAAACATCAATAGCCAGAAGGGAGACAAAGGTCAAGTTGGAGGGTTGGCACTGTTTTTCACAGCTGCATCACCCAGTAGAGCTTCCAAGTCCTTGGGTAAAAGTGATCTTCCAACTATGAAGAACTCGTGGTGGGCTTGTATCAGATATGGGAGCTCCTTGGCAGTGTTTGGTGGGTACTCAGGACACCTCCCTCACAGGCTTGCTCCCCTGCTGTCCTCTGTGCTTTTCCTTATGACCTATGTGTCAAATACACCAGTCTTCAGGGCGTGGTGGTGCACACCTTTAATCCCAGCATTTGGGAGATAAAGGCAGGCTATTTTCTGTGAGATCAATGCAAGCCTGGTCTATGTAGTGAATTCCAGGCCAGCTGGGTCTAGAGAAACCCTGCCTTAACCCTCCCTCCCAGACAAAACAAACCCAAAAATACACCAGTGAGTAGCACTATGTCCCCCCTTTTAGATAAATGTCCAAAGCACACTGGGAAACCTCTCAGGCCGTAAGTACGGGGCAGAGAGGGCTCACGCAAAGACTTTGGCTTCTGTGTGGAATTCTTCCCTCTCTTGGCCTTAAGGGCACAACTTCTCTTCCAGATAGGCTAAAGAAGGAAAAAAAAAAAAAAAAAAAAAAAAAAAAAAAAAAAAGACCAAAAGAAAATTCATACAAAGAAAATAGAGAAATCAAGACCTTCAGTTTATTTTTGTTCAAGGTGTGACCAAATATTTTTATTGCATTTACTATTCCTGGGTCGTGCACTGATCCAGAAATAGAAATTTCATTACAAAGTCTTATTGGGTCTGGAGCAGAGGCTTCTTGATGTAAAAATCACAAGGAGCACCAGAGGCCTTGCACTCATTTTTCCTGGTTTCCTGAGTGCCGAGAGCTGGTAGTCTTATCAGCTAGCCTGAGGCTCTGAGGTCCAGCCACAGCCACACCTCAGACCCAATACCCTCATCACTGAGCCTGGCTAACACCAGTGTGCCAGGACAGTAAGACCACACTTGAGGTTTCCTATCAACTGTCCTCAGTTACTCACAGTCCCAGACTCTCAGGCTCTGAACTTTAAGGCCACAGATGAAGATTCTTTCTTGCAGATGACAGCAACTCTGAAAGCAGACACCTGGGATTGAACCCAACTTTCAATGGACTGGCAAGCAAACTGAATTTCTACTGGCTCATCCAAGTCAGGTGTGACAGCAGCACCATAGAATTATCTGGAGTTGTGATCTGACATGAAGGGAACCATGTCCCCTCAAACCCTAGTGTTAGGGTTTTTTTCCAGTACCTCAGGATGTGACTACCTGGAAATGGCCACTCCAGATGCAGGAGGGGTTCTGCAGGAGTAGGCAGGGTGGGTCCAAATCCAAAGACTGGTGTTCATGTGCGAAAGGGAAGTTTGAAAACAAAGATGGAGAGACGCTTGTACAAGCACAGGAGCACATACAAGTGTTGGCAACCATCAGACCCGGGACAGAAGCCTGGATGATTCCCTCTTCCAGACTCAAGAAAAAAACCGACCCTGCTGATACCACACATGGACCTTATAGCCTCCAGAGCGGTGTTTGGTACTCATTACAACTGTACTAGGAAACCACACAAACTGCCTTGGAGCTAATACTCGTGGAGGACATGACTTCATGGAAGTTTCTATCCTAAGGCTTAGATCACCCAGCAGAAGAGCCCTGAGGGTCTCAACTCTAAATTCCTAAATCAAGTTGGAGAAGAACTTAAGTGGTGACAATGCAGCTTTCATCCCACATTAACCAAGGGTCTTTGGGGTACAAAGAAATGTTTGGATAGGTGTGTGAACTTATCAAATGTGAGCTCCTGATCTGTATGCAATCAGTGGCTAGGCCAAATCATGTCTCACGACAATACCCCTTGCAGACCCTAAAGGCCCTCCTGAGCAACTGAGGGGGTCTGTGGGGCATTCCTCTGGACATGGTGACCTGGGGCCAACTTCTGAGGGTAGGACTTGATTTTGGCTGGCTCCCCACTGTGCACTCCCACCCCACTCTATTTTGCCACCATCACCCCAGTGTCAGCTTCCCACTGCCCTGGAGCTTTGGGGGCTGGCATTAGGGGTTGTATAGTGACCAAGAGGTCACTGTGATGGGGCAGCCCGCTCTCTCTGAGGGCTCTAGCAGTGGCTGGGTGTCTTGAAGATGCAGACCTTGAGGCTTGTGTTGCCTTGTTTCCCTGGGTTTTGGCACAGCAGAAACAAGGAATGCTCAGGTGGCCACTTTTTATCTGGGGAGGTGGTGGCATGGCACCAGAATTAGGGCACTACCTGAGAGCAAAGGGCAGGCAGTGTGGGCTGTCCTGTGATGGGTCTGAGCTTGTGGGGCTACACTGGGCTCAGTAGGAGTTCAGAGCCTGCTTGGAGCGCCGCTTCATGTGCAGGCGCTCATGGCGGAGGAGGTCGCAATTCTGCCGGAAAGTTTTGACACAGTATCGACACTGGAGGGGGCGGACCTCATCCTTCAGGTGGCAGTGGCTGCGATGTCTCACCAGCTGGTCATGCCGCTGGAAGCCCTTCCCACAGTCCCTGCACTGGAGGCCCAGCTTGGTCTTGCTCTTCTCTAGCAAGGCATGAGGACCCGTGCCTTCCGTCTCCAATGTGCCCTCCTCGCTTTTCTGTACTGGCTGCTGTCTATCTGGCTGCAGGTGGAAACGCCGGTGGGAAAGCAGGTGTGAGTTGAGACGGAAGCTCTTACCGCAGGTGCTGCACCTGTAGGGCTTCTGGGCCTCATGGGTTTCCAGGTGACCATCCAGGTCTTCGCTGTCACTGAACAGCTCCCCGCACACCCTACACTCATGTGGCTTCTGCTCCCTGCGGCTGCGCAGGTGTCTGATGAAATTGACCCGCCAGCGGAAGATCTTCCCACAGTTTGGACACACATAGGACTTCTGTGAAGTTTGCACCTCACCCCCAACCTCAGCACCGCTCTGACGAGTGGGAAGTCCGTGGGGCTTTTCTGTTGGGCTCCTCAGCTCCTCTGTGCAGTATGGGCCATGCTGGGAGTCCTCATCCCCGGAGCTGGAAAGCACGATCTCAATGGTCACCTCCTGGTCCAAGACGTTCTTTAGGGGTGGTGGGTCACCTCCTGGTCCAGGAAACCAGTGTGATCAGTGGCACTACCAAGACTACCTCCCATCCCAGTCCCAAGGAAACCCACCCAGGAAGGTTCAACTGCAGGTACAGAAACCCACTAACAGTGCAAGAAATTCCTTGAGGAAAAAGTGGGTAAGGCAAGGCTGTGGGCGGTGTGCACAGGCTTCCAGATAGGGGGCGGTGTGCACAGACTTCCAGATGGGAAGTTCAGTTCCGTAAGGGAGGTCAAAGGCACAGACCTGAGCGGTGTGTGTAGTGCATGTGTAATGTGTGTCTGTGAAACGTTTCTGTGGTGTTTGCAAATGTGTATGTGCAGTATGTGGTATGTGTGTGTGCATGTTTGTGTGCGGTGTGTAGGAAAAAGAACCAGTATAAAAATCACTCTTATCAAACTGCTTCTTGTCCTGTTGTTTTATTTGAATGGCCGCTGGATGGAGAAATGTGGAGACCTCCACTCAGTAGCACCTGCCCCGTGGCTTGCTGAACAATTCACAAGAACCAGATAAGGAACAAACACAGAAATCACCAGCTGGAACAAAAGTAACAGGCATTCTGTTTGAGTACCATTTCTACAACCATCAGGTAAATGACTACTTGAAATCTGTTCCAGCCTTGTACAAACCCTCTCTTGTGGTCAACCCTGATGTAGCCCTAACCCCCAACAAAACAGGGCCAGTACTTTTCTGAGTGTCTTGGCTACACTCTTTAAGAGCAAATACATCTTCTTCTTATGCCACACTTGTGCAAATACTTGCTTCCCATGACTCTGGCTTCAGTTTACATCTTACAGGGTAGGTAGTCTCTCTGTGTGTGGCCATGTCTGTGTGAAAGGTATATGTTGTGTGTTTGCGGTGTGTGGTATGTATGTGTCTGTGTGTGGGGAGGAATTCCCCCAAATCATCAGTGGTCACAATGGTAAGAGAGAGAGAAGAGGAAGAGCTTTTTCAAGGGCTTTTACATGTACTAAGCCCTCAAACACAACTCTAACTTTTGTTCCACAGATGAAAAATTTAAAGCAAAGAAATGAAACTTTTAGAAAAACTGAATTCAGTGCACATGCAGGGCAGAGCCTGTGGCCAGAGAGCTCATATGAGCGGGACATGAAAAGTTGAAATGATTAAGTAACTGTAATAAAATAAAATGAGGACTATCTACCCTCCCTCCCTCCCTTCCTCCCTCCCTCCCTCCTTCCCTCTCTCCCTCCCTTTCTTTTTTTAGAGAGGTCTTGTCCTTTTGTTCAGCCTGGCCATGAGCTTAAAGTCTTCTGACCTTAGCTTCTCAAGTAACTGGAATTTACTGAGTATGTAAAACCATACTCAGCTCCAGAACATTCTTATAAAGGTAGGATGAGGCTTTCTTAAGCAAGATGTGAAAATCAAACAGGAGTATATTTACAGTTATAAAATGTAAAAACCAGTCACACACCACAAGATATAGAAGCAATGTTTGTTGTTCTTGTGTCTTTTTTTTTTTTTTTTCCTAAGGAGAGGGCTAGAACAGTAGTTAAGTGATAGAACACTTGCCAAGTATGCCTGAGGCCCTGGGTTCAGTCCTCAGCACTGGGAGAAAGGATGGCTGGGAGGGAGGTCTATGTGTAAATACCAAGAGCCAGTGGATTTAGGCCTACAGATTTTCCTGTTTCTGTGATGCCGGGATTTTGGTCAGGGCCTTGCATATTAAGAATAGGCTCAACAACTTAGGTCTACTTCCAGCTTCTGATCCAATTTTGAGTTCCCAAAAAGCCGACCGTAGGTTCTGGGGATATATTAATAGCTTAGTGGTAAAATACTTGCCCAGCATTTACAGGGCCCTGAGTTCAGTTTGAAGCACAGTCAAAAAAGAAAAACATGGTTTGGTGATGTGGAATAAAGACCACAAGTCTGGGGCTTGATTGCCCGAGTTCAGATTTTATGCTTCCATCCACAACCAGTGAACGCTGGACTTGGGGCTAGAAACCTAAGCTTTCAGGGCTTCTGGAGCCCTGGGTGCAAACAGACATCCTGACTTTGAAGAGCTGTTAAGAGCTCTGCTATTTATGTGGGTAATGGACTCATGGGACATCTCAAGAGCAGTTCTGAACAGAAGCCAGTCCAGCTGGGTCTCTGGCCATGTGATGGCCTGTGCTGTAGTACTGTATTATTAGCAACAGAAAACAGATTAAGAGTTTAACACATCTGAGAAGAAAAATACAGAAAAGAAAGACAAGTATTATTTAGGCAATTCATAGAGAAAACACAGTAGATAAGGATGCCACTGTTCCATTGCAGGGGCAGGCACAGTGACTCTCACCTGACCGGCACACACTGAACAGGCTAAGGGAGGCCTGTGTGTGCATGTACAGAGGAATAGACAGACCCCTTGCCAACTGGCACGGGATGTCAGGAAGTGCTTTGGAAGTGCAATTAGTAATAGCTAACAAAGTAAAAGCAGCCCCCATTCTGGATCCATCATTCCTTCTTCTTCCTGAGATGGTAGTGCTCAGCTTCTTGCTGTGTGACAGCAGGGTGTGTGTGCATCAGCACAGTGAGAGAAGAACAACTGGAATGTGTCAACAAGCAACAAGCATCCATCTACCTTCTGGAAGTCTGCCCATGGATGATATGCTGCAGAAAGGTTCAAAATGTAGCTGAACTGAATACCACCATAGTGCCAATAGCTGAGGCAGGTTCTTCAGAGCACCATGGTGAGAGGTCTCCTTCCAGACTGATCCTGCTCTAAAATCTACTATCTACACATGACAGGGGTGCTTAGCACAAATGGCTGCATGCCCTACAAGGGAGCATGTTGGAAATATGAATACTGCCTTCAAAAGCATCGCGTATGAATGTATAAATCTCCACAGCTGTGGGAAGCCACGTGACTCTGGGTTCAAAGATCAGTTTGGCAGAACCTGAGTGTGGTATTTAGAGGAACAGCTGGCCTCTGAGGATATCAAAGACAGGTTACTTCAGTCTTTGCCTCTGGTTACACTTACTGGGAAGGTGGCGGTGCAGTTTGGCAATCTTGGATCTGCTCTTTAATGACAAGTCACCTTGGGGTACTGGCCATTCGTGATCAGATAGGAATACTCTCTACATACAGAGCAGTGCTATACTAGTGTCCCTACAACCTATCCAGGAAAGGCAAGAAACCAGTGTGGGATGGGGAAATGGCAGGACAGAACGAGGACAGAGGGCAGACAGTCCCATAACAGCAGTCAGCAGGAACCTTGGACTGTTTGATGCATAACAGCCCTACCAACACACACACACACACACACACACACACACACACACACACATCCTCAGTCCTCCTCCCCTAACACCATACACCACTTGGGCACACGCCCCACACCCAGCCTCCTCACCTGGACAGGAACTTTGAGTGAGCATCACCTGCTGGCAAGACTGCAGCTCTGGCACCTGCAGCTCCTCCCACTTCCTTCTTTCTTCCACCTGGAATGGCTGGAGACTGGGAAAGTCTTTTGAAAGAAGAAAATGGAGAAAGTGATTTGTCTTGTACCGGCACCATCCAGGAACAGATGTAAGGTGGGGCCTGGCATGAAGTGGATCCTGTGTCAGTCAAGCAAATGAACCTGAAGGCAAATGGGCAGACACCATGAACCTGGGTTCTAAAGCTAGATAGAACCAATGTAGATTCTGGCTCTGCTCATTTGCCTGTGGTCACAGACAAGTAACAACCTTGACCCTGAGGTCCTTGCTACCTTCCATGCTAAGTTCTCTACAGACCTGCAGACCCTTCACAAACACAGTACAGCGGCTATGAGGCAGAGACAGAAGGCCTGGGAGATACCATGCTGAGACCCCAAACCTGGTCTCAGTGCCAACCCAGTGTCAACGGGATCCTGGAGGGAATGGAGGTCCAAGATTGTTGCTGCTGATTCTGTTCAAAGCTACTTCCGTGAAGGGACACTTCACAGCATCGATGCATAGGACACACACACACACACACACACACACACACACACACACACACACACCAGTTCTGGGCACACAGAACATTAGGTGCAGGTGAATACTGCTTCTTAGAGACTACTCCATACCTTGGGGTCCTCCCAGCACCCATGTGACCAGGGAGGGAGGAAAGTATCTAGAGGGGCTGTGCTTTGACCCAGTCTCTTTAGCCATGAGTATCTGATTACTCTCTTGTAGAGGCTGCTGGATTGTCACCACAAACCTAAGGCAAACTATGCACAAGGGAAGAGATTCTCTTTCCCTACTAGTCCCTGGTTGAGTATAATCCCTATGGATAGGAAAATCCAAATTCTCCTACTCTCGGCAAGAAGCTAGAGGAAAGGCAAGACATAGAACACCAAGACAGAGTGGGGAGACAATGGAAGGAGACCAGGGATGATCTAGCTGCAGCTGCTCTCCCACCTCTGAAGAGCACTCACCTAAGCAGGAGACCTGGGTCATTTCACCCTGAAGATCCAGCAACTCTGGAACTCGTGGCCCATTCTCCTCTTCTGGGGAGAGGTCTGGCTGGGGTGCAGGATCGTCTGTTCAGAAAGAGATAGGATACCTTCATCAGGACCTACTGGTGTAGGTGACCAGGGTAGGCCCAATGTGGTGATCCCTGTCCTGCCCCAAAGAGACAGAGGAGAAATGGCCAGTGGGCTGTGGACAGACAACACTGGGGCTACAGAGGAATACAAGGCCAGGGCAAACAATGGAGGAGCCAGAGGCAACATACTACAGAGTGAGCCAGGGGTGGGGTGTCCCTTTGATACCTATTAGGTACCTCTGAAAGGGACATCAGGGGAAAAAATGACTGTAGGCAGACAGAAACAATGAAATTATGTCATATTCAGTTTGTGAGAACAGAAGGCCTTGTGAGCCCGATCTAAATGTGCGGGAACATTTAGCCAGGTCACTGACAAGCTGCCTATGGGTCATGCACAAGTGACCTGTCACAGGAAGATAAGCAGAGAAACTGGATTCAGCCAGAACACTCGAACCTCATGGGAAGTGACCCTCACTCAGCAAGCACCCTACCCCTACTTCCCATGTACTTGGTGGCACAGGGAGTCAGCTCTTACTTGGAGGCATGGAGACCCCATAGTCTTCCCCAATAATGAACTCTCCATAGAAGCCAGTCTGCGCTGGATCCAGAAGGGACCAGTCCTCTTCAGAGAAGCATAGGATCATGTCCTTAAATGGAGAAACCCGGTTCTGAAAGCACAGGGCAGCTCTGTATTAGGAAAGAGCTGGGTCTTTGCATATTTGGGTTGCAATGATGAGACCCCATGACCAGGTGGTGTTTAACACAGGTATTCACAGCTAATGGCTTTGGAGGCTAAAAATCCAAGACCAAGGCCCAGCAGAGTGGTGCTCTTTTGGTTCAAAGACCCAGGGTCCTAACATGGTGAAAGGGGTAAGGGAGCTTTCTGGAGCCCCGACCAGTATCATGACATTCCCATTGGGCCTCCACCCTCCAGTCCTCTGGGCTGGTAGATTTAAGATGCTCCCTTCCCCTTTTGGAAGCATAGACATTTGATTTCCCTGAGCCTCCTCCTTTAGGGCCCCAGATTCTTCATCTGCTAAAGGGCAGATCCTTACATGTTGCCAAGAACTTAGGGCTGTTAAATGAAAAGCACTCTTTGGTAAAACCGTCTTGTATAGAGAGCATATTTTCTACCTTACAGAGTTCAGGTTAGTGATTTTATTTGCTGGAAAAGATCTCTGAAGAAATTCTTTATGACCCCTCCTGTGCAGTCAAAGCCAAAGGAAAACACTTCGCTTTCTTACCTAAGATGTCCCTGGGACAGCTCTGCACCGGCTTTTTGAGCTTCTGACCAGAGGAAAGTAAATGCTGGCTTGAGATTAACTACTCCTGCCTGAAGGTCTGGACTGGCTTAGATGAGTCTTGAACTGTTGACTCTCACTGGGCACTCTTTGTTTATCCTAGTTACTCAGCTAATTTTGTTCTTTAACATACTATTAATTTTGATTGTATTGCACAAAGCCAGTTGGTGTCCTTGTGTTTTAATTATTATTTTAAGACACTTAAAAAAACAAAACAAAACAGGCATGGTGGTGCATACCTTTACCTTTAATGTCAGCACTCGGGAGGCAGAGGCAGGTAGATCTCAGTGAGTTCAAGGCTAACCTGGTCTATGTAAGAGTCTCAGGCCAGCTGGGGCTACAGGGAGAACTGATTGGTTAGTCAGAATCTCCCCTCTACAGCAAATGATGGAAACAAAAGAATGATGGGGTCTGCCACCCACTTGCAAAGTTCTCAAAGTAACCACCCACAGGTACATCCTGTTCTGAGCTGAGCTCCCTTCCCAGGAGGATTGCCCATCAAACTGAACATGCTGGATTCAACCTTACAACATCTGCCCAGCTCGGTCTGTAGTTCTAGTCAGTCCACCCAAGTAGTCATATTTACACTCATGTTTCTCCTCCAGATTTACTACAATGTTATCAAACAGGCAGTTACTGAATTAAAAGAAAAAAAAAAAAACAACCCAGAAAACCTTAACAAAAAAGCTCAATGGATTCCTCTAAGGAGAAGGTACAGACTGACCTGGATGCTGTAGTACTAACATGTGGCTTAATCCCTGCCAAGTCAGACAAAACCTGAAAAGTCTAAAGTACTTGAGGAGGCTGCCACCACAGGTCCTAAGACTCATTACAGGGTTGATCACGATCGCTTACTGGGACATGGACCTACACCTGTATCCTTACCGGACTCAGAGGAATCCAACATGGGTCCCTCAAAACCTTTCTTGGATTCAAACAACTCATTTAAGTGGAGATTCTATTGGGCCAAAATCTTCCAACAATTTACCAGAACGGAGATGGTTTAGGTTGCTCCTTTGCAAGAACCCATTTGCCACAGTGAGGCATTGTTTCTCATGTGTACATGGGTCAGAAACTTTCCCATCAACCCAGAAGGCTTGCTGAAGAGGTAGCCTCTCCACTACAGAACTGCTCGAAAGTTGACTAGACAACTGAACTGCCCTCAAGTGTATATACTGGTAGAGCAGGGAGGCCTATGTATGAAGGTTAAATGATTTGCCATGTGGTTAACAACTATGTAAAATGGTATACTGAATTTCAGCCACATTATGCTTGTTCCATAGATTTAACTACCTACCTACGCTTTTCTACCAAAATAGTCATGTCTAAAAACATGGACTAGGCCTCATGGTGACTAGATATTCATTCGCTCTCTACTATCTTGTAACTGAGCTAAAAGACTTGTCACTGCTCTTAGCTGACATTCTCCTTTCTATGTGCAACATGACTTCCTAGGAATAAGCCTTCCCAGAAAAGAGCATGAGACCCAAACATAAGGCTACTTAAGCATGATAAAATACAGTATTCCTCAGCAATGCTTTTTCTGAAAGTCTTACCATTTTTAAGAGAAAAATTCTGAGATATTCTGAGTTGCTGGCCAGAGAATAGAGGGAATAGGGCCATTTTAACTCATAGCATTAACCTAAACCAGCAAAGAATAAAAAATATGCTCCATGTTGCTTTCCTGTGCTGAATTGCATTCATCAAGGTCACATCACATTCTGCTTCTGAAAACAAGAAGTGCCAAGACTTCTCTTTATGAGCTGGTCATGGCTCACTCCTATAACCCTGGCCCTTAGGAAGCTGAGGCAGGAAGACTGTCACGAGTGCAAGGCCAGTCTGGGCTACAGTATGAGAGTCTGTCTGGAAAAATAAAAATCAAAACCCTTCTCTTCATGGACTAGCTTCTTGTCGCAGGACTTTGACAGCATCACGTTGTCCTGTGCTTGCTATCTTTGCCAACATGGATTCAGTGTGAACAATCTATCTCTTCTCAAACTCTCATTCTAGAATTCCCTGGCTTCAGGGTCAGAGGACATTTTCCAGCTGCTGTCTGGCCATGCAGCTGGTAGCTTAAGGAATGTCCCACAGTCCTTCACTGTCAGCTGCCATCTATATGTACAGCTCAATAAACACTTTGTTTCAGAGACGTCACTGTCAACAGTTGATTTAAAAAAATATTTATTATTTTTATGTGTATGTGTGTTTTGCCTGTATGTAGGTAAGTGCACCTGTGTTGTGCAATGCCTGTGGAGGACAGAAGTTCCCCTGGAACTGGAGTTACCAACAGTTGTTAGCTGCCATGTGGATGCTGGGATTCAAACCCAGGTCTCCTGCAAGAACAGCCAGTGTTCTTAACTGGTGAGCCATCTCTCCAGTTCCTGTCAACAGTTGATTTAACAAGGGCGCCAGCATGGTTCGGTTCTCGTGAGGGCCACTTCCACTTCTTTGTTCTTAACTGTCAGGTCTTACACTGTGTTCTTGTGTGACCAAAGGGGCAAAACAGGTCTCTGAGGTCTCTTGTGTATATGTGTGCAGGTGTGAAGAGGTCAAAGGACAACCTAGAGTGTTATCCTTAGGCCCCACCCCTTACTTTTCCCACTGGCCTGGATCTTGTCACATAGACCAAGCTAGCCTCAATCTTGCAGAGATCTGCCTGCCTGTGCCTCCCAAGTGCTGGGATTAAAGGAATGTGCTACCATACCTTGCTACCTTTCTGGTTTTGTGGTTTATTTTTTGTGTGTGAGACAGGTCTCTCACTGTCCTGAAACTCAATAGGCTAGGCTGCCTGGCTAATGAGCCCAGAGAACCACCTATTTTCACCTCCCCAGTGCTGGGATTAAAAGTGTGTGCCACTGTGCTTGACTTTTTATGTGGGTTCTGAACCCAGGGCCTCATGCCAGCACTGAGCCATCTCTCCAGCTCAATATGGGGACTCTTTTATGAGAGCATTAATCTCATTCATGGGGACTCTGAATTGTAATTTGATTATTTTCCCAAAGCTCCCCCTCTTAATTCTGTGAAAGAACTGGAATCCATATACTCTTACACACATACACACTTACCCCCAAATATTCAGACCCCAAAACAGACGAGGATGCTACAAAAAGCTGGGGTTGCAGACAGTGCTTACAACATGACAGATAGAGAAAGCAGGCAGGCCACCCCAGGTCCAGGCTCCAAAGTCCACACTGCTTCGGAAACTGTACCCTGAGATCTGCCTCAACCTACCTTGTTTATTAGGATCCAAACAGCAGATGTCTTTTTAGCCAGGCATATAGAGAAATAGGCCTACCTACTCAATGCTGTGGCTGACCCCCAAATTACCAATGTGCTGTCTACCATTCATTCTCTCAAGAACTGAACCCAGGGCCTTGCACATGCTATATAAATGCTATACCACTAAGCTACATGCCTAGCTTCTCCACATGTGCAGTATGTGGTCTCTGTCACAGCTCTTTCAATGAGCACCACAGAGATGGAAACAACCTTTACACCCAACACCAGAGAATGGGTTAAATAAGCCTGAGGCCATCCTCTAAGGAAACAACATGCATGCATTTCCAAGGAATATCATGTATGCATTAAGAATGAGAGAATCTCTGTAATGAGAGGAACTCTCTTCTGGGTGTGCAGGAAGGTGCAGCCAACTATCTTCAAGGCACATGTGTCTCAGCTGAGGCCTGAAGTTAAGCAAGAGACTTTTTCATACTTTGAAACATATGCCCAAACACTGACTGGGACTTTTCAAAATGATTGTATGTCCACATAATACCGGGAGATTAAGTAGACAGAGAAAAGATGTCCCTGGGTAACCAGCCTCGGTGCCCTATAGATGCCAGCTCTCAAGAGACCAAGTGTCTGTGCTGGACCATGTGAGGGACCTTATCATGAAAGATCAATGTTTCCTTGACTATAGGTGCTTCTATACTGATCTAGAAACTCTGAACTTAGTACTTGGCTTCTATACTGATCTAGAAACTCTGAACTCAGTACTTGGCAAGTAAGAAAGAAAATAACCAGAAAGCCAAGACAGTGAAAGGCTGTGGGCACCAGAGGCGGAGGTGGAAGCAGCTCCCAATGCAGAGACCTAGAACATGACTTCTCATTTTATTAAGAACCTTGACACTTCTATGTGGATCTCAGAATTCTGGGCTGTCATCCTCATCCAGTGGCTGCCAAGACCTGGCTGCAGTTGGTAACTGCAATAGGACCTGAGAAGTCTACAGATTACAGAAAATAAGCCAAGGGACACTGGTGTAAAGCTGTCATTTGAAGCTGTGAAACATCCCAACTGCCACTCAGAGAATCTTGGATTAGAGGCTTCTAAGTTAACGGCTGCCTGCTGTATTTTAAATACATACTCT